GCTTCTAGCTGCAGGGATGCATACAGAAATGTTGTGTGATATTCCAGGCTGTGCCTCTAAAGAGAAGGAGCATGCTCTCCACTTCTCCTTCCTCCTTTTCACTGACTGAAATGTGGATGAAGATGTAGATACAGATGAGGGCATTACCTTAGTGACCAATACCAGGAAGAAGGGATCCTGTGTCCCAGGACCATTGTGTTGCCACAGAAGCCCTGACCACTCACATGTAATTAAAAAAAAAACCCTATCTTTATAAAGTCATAGTATTGGATTATCTGTTATAGAAGCTGAATGTGTATTTTCATAAATATATGTTTGTTAAAAATGAAGGATGTAAGTCTTCTTGTCCTGTACAGCAATGGTTGGTAAATTATTGCTATAGGTCAAATCTAGCCCAATGCTTGCTTTTGTAAGCAAAGTTTTATTGAAGCGCAACCTAAGTTCATTCACTTATGTGTTAGCTGTTTTCTCACTATACTATCAGAGTTGAGGAGTATGACAGTGATTGTATGACCGACACACTCTAAAATCTTTATTAACTGGCCCATAATAGAAAAGACATTGCTGCTATAGAGAGAAAGAAAAAGAAAAAATCGTTCATCCAGTAAAAGCAAAGAGAAACAATAGCATATAGGAAATAATAAAAATGGGGAATTTAAAATAAAAAGTCAAGAATATGACTAAATATATTAATTAAAATAAATGTGAGTGGACTAACTTCCCCCATCAATACTTTAACATTCTTCAGGTAAGACAGTGAGTCAAGCCTGGAATTGTCAGGAAATTTGTCACATTTAGCTAAAGAGTAAGAACTTCAGAGGGGCAACAACAGAAGGGATTTGGTATGAGTAGAATTTTCACAGAAAAGGAGGAACTTTACTTTCAAGAAATTCTGTGTGCAAAATTTTAGGTAACTGTTAGTAAGCTGACTAAGAGAATCAAATCATTTCTGCCAAAAAATGAGAGACTGAGAAAAGCCAGACTTGCTCCTTGAATGATCCTAGGGACTCTTAGTGAAGTATTCTCAGGGAAGGGGAACTATAGGACAGACAGAAATGACATAAAAGTCAATTATGGCTGGATATGCTGGCTCATGCCTGTAATCCCAGTGCTCTGAGAGACTGAGGCAGGAGGGTCGCTTGAGCCCAGGAGTTTGAGACCATCCTGGGCAACATATTAAGACTCTGTCTCTAATAACTAACTAACCAACTAACTGAATTAATTAATTAATAAGTCAAATCTATGGTTCTTGTGTTCTTGGGTTGTTTTGTGTTGCTATAAAGAAATATCTTGCCAGGTGTGTTGACTCAGGCCCAGGAGTTCAAGACCAGCCTAGGCAACATAGTGAGATTCTGCCTCTAGAAAAAAATTAAAAAAAAAAAAAAAAAAAAAAAGAAATACCAGAGGCTGGATCATTGATAAAGAAAAGAAGTTTAATTGGTTAATTCATAAAGAAAAGAGGCTTAGTTGGCTCACAGTTCTGCAGGCTGTACAGGAAACATGGCACAGGCATCTGCTGGGCTTCTGGTGAGGCCTCAGGAAGCTTTCAATCATGGTAGAATGCAAAGCAGGACCCAGTAACTCACATGTGGAGAAGAGGAGAAAGGGAGAGAGTTGCAGGGAGGTGCCACACACCTTAAACAACAGGATCTCATGAGAACCCTCTCACTATCCTGAGGACATCACTAAGCCACCTTTATGACCTAAACACCTGCCACCAGGCCCCACCACCACCAATAGGAATTACAATTCAACATGAGATTTGATGGGGACATATATGTAAACTATGTTTTCTACCAAAGAACATAGGCCAAGTTTAATTGAATGAGATCAAGTGCTTGGAAACCACCTAATTAGTATACAGTGTCTACTGTACTCTTATATTTGTTAAACAAGAATTAATCGTTTCCCCAAGTAGCTTATGAAATACTTACCATTGGAGAAATACAGAGAAGGGCCCATGATTCCAGTTATGGATAAATGAGAAACACTCATTCCTTTGGGGTTACCCAAGGACAGAAATAGTGAAGAGATCTTTAGTCTTTGGGCTTCTCTGGGCATATTCTGTTTCTGTACAGCCCAAGGGGGCCTCCTATCTTTGTATTACACATGCCAGTCTTGGTCATACTTTCTTTGAGGGGCATTTGATAGTCTGTCTCTCATTTCCAGCACCTGTTATGATGTCACGCACCTCAGCCTCAACCACTTTTCCAGAAAAGACTAAACAAATCCTCTAATTATCTACAGAGCCTACTAAGGGAAGGCTGATATGAACTGAGCAAGTACTGGGCAGGCAAAATGAGGGGATGGAGATGCAGAGATGATACCTTGACTCTCTTCTCATATCCCCATGGAATTAGAAATACTTCTTTTCACTTCTACAATTCTGAATAGAGTACCAATCTTTTAAAATTATTATTATTAAAAAAAATTTTTTTAGAGGCAGGGTCTCACTCCGTGGCACAATCACAGCTCACTATAACCTCAAACTCCTAGGCTCAGGTGATCCTCCCACCTTAGCCTCCCAAGTAGTTAGAACTGTAGATAAATGCACCATGCCTGGCTAATTTTTAAATAATTTTTTATAGAGACAGGGTCTCACTATGTTGCCTAGGCTGATCTCAAACTCCTGATCTCAAGTGGTTCTCCCACTTTGGCCTCCTAAAGCTCTGGGATTACAGGCGAGTGCAACCTCTCCCGACCAAGGAACAATCTTTAAATCTAGAACTAGTGTTAATCCAGAGCTAAATTTTTTTTTCTGGGATGTTATAGAGTAACTGGTCTTATTAACAGTTCATTAAATAAATATTTCCTGTCACCTCTATGTAAGGTATTACTTTAGGTACTGTGGATTCCAGGATGGATAGTATGTGTCCTCTGCCTTTGATGAATTTACATCTAATAAGGATTAAAAAAAATTCAAGGATAAACTATCCTCTTTTCTCCCCTTACCACTTTCCCCTAATGCACTAATATAGACAAATAGTATGCAAAATGGTATACCAACTATTAGTCATCAAATTTAGTTATACAGCTGTTACAATACTTATATTGGAGTGGACCCTACAGACTATGGGTTCATTTCTGCTCCTAAAATCAACTGCCTTTGAAAACAAAAGGACAGAAAATCAAGGACTATATTAGTCCATTCCCAAACTGCTAAAAAGAACTACCTGAGACTGGGCAATTTATAAAGAAGAGAGTTTTAATTGACTTAAAACTGCATGGCTGGGGAGGTTTCAAGAAACTTGCAATCATGTCAGAAGGCAAAGGGGAAGCAAAGCACATCTTGCATGGTGGCAGGAGAGAGTGCAAGGAGGGGAACTGCCAAATGCTTGTAAACCATCAAATCTCGTGAGAACTCACTCATTATCACAAGAAGAGCATGGGGGAAGCCACCCCCATGATGCAGCCAACTTCCACCAGGTATCTTCCTCAACACATGGGGATTACAATTCAAGATGAGGTTTGGGTGGGTACATAGAGCCAAACTATACCAAAGTTTTTTGCTGCTATAGGCTAAATTCATTTTGCTGATATCTGAGTATTACCAAAATTTAGGGGTAAAGGGAAAGTTTAGGCTTAGTTTTTTAAAAACTCAATTTTTTGATGTGTCTCTTAAAATTAGTGTTTAATTTGTGCTTTTTTTTTGAAACAGGTCTAATATTTTCTGCCACCCAACACATACTGCCTGAGTAATACACTAATGAAAAATTGCAACACTGCAGTATGGGAATGACTTGAACTCAGTTTTTACATATTTGTTTCTGGACTACTAATGGCTTTCTGAAACCAAAACAAAACAAAAACACTCTATTTTTAAACTTGCAATGAAAGAAAGGATGATTAAGAAGTTTGGGAACAAATTTTCTTGTTGTAGAGAGGCAATTTTGAGACCATAGTTTTCATTTACCACTTTCAGAGACATTTTACCACCACAAACGTGTTTTGTGCATAATAGAATCACATGAAAGTCACTGGAGTTGTGGTTGTCCCTTTGCTGGTAACTGCCAAATCTGGTCATCAAAGAGTTGCATGTTCTAGTACTGGCCTTAGGCAAAATTACCAAGTAGGTGTAGTTTGTGTTTGACACCTCTCACTTCCTATTTCCAGGCTTCCTTCTACTCTTTTTGTAGTTACCCTTCTCCCTTCTTCAAACAATCAGTTCATCACGCTCAATTCTCAGTCTCACTCCCACTACATTTTATGATATAATGTAGGGGTCCCCAACCCCTGGGCCATGGACTGGTATTGGTCCATGGCCTTTTAGGAACTGGGCCCCACAGCAGGAGTAGTGGTGGGCAAGCAAGCAAGGCTTTATTTGTATTTACAGCCCTTCCCCATCACTCACATTACTGCCTGAGCTCCGCCTCCTGTCACATCAGCAGTGGCATAAGATTCTCATAGGAGTATAAACACTATTGTGAATTGTACATGTGAGGGATCTAGGTCGGACACTCCTTATGAGAATCTGATGCCTGATGATCCATCAGTGTCTCCCATAACCCCCAGATGGGACCATCTAGTTGCAGGAAACAAGCTCAGGGCTCCCACTGATTCTACATTATGCTGAGTTGTATATGTCACCATATATTACAATGTAATAATAATACAAATAAAATGCACAATAAATGGAATGTACTTGAACCATCCTGAAACCGTCTCCCTCTCCACAGTCTGTGGATACATGATCTTCCATGAAACTGGTCCCTGGTGCCAAAAAGATTGGGGACCACCGTTGTGATGGTTAGTGTATGTATCAGCTTGACTGGTCTAAGGAATGTCCAGATAGCTGGTAAAATTATTTCTTGGTGTGCCTGTGAAGGTTTTTGGAAAAGATTAGCATTTGAATCAGTAGACTGAGTAAAGAAAATGCCCCCGCCAATGTGAGTGGGCATCATCTAATCTGCTGAGGGCCCAAAGAACAAAAAAGCAGAGGAAGGGTAAATTACTCCTCTCTTCTTGAGCTGACACATTCATCTTCTCCTACCTACAGATGTTAGAGGTTCTACAGTTTTCAGACTCCAGGACTTACATTAGCACCCCATACCGTAATCCCAGCCCAGGTTCTTAGGGCTTAGACTTGGACTGAATGACATCACCAGCATTCCTACTTTTGCTGCTTGCAAATGGATCATGTGACACATCTTGGCCTCCATAATGATGTAAGTCAACTCCCATAATAAATTATCTGTCTATTTATCTATCTATCTACCTATCTACCTACATCTACCTATCTACCTATCCATCCATCCACACACACATATATGTCAACCTATATTGTCAACCGATGAGGTCTGTATTACAGGTTGTAATGGTTTTTTTCTACAGGACATCATTTCAGAAACAAAAATAGCATTCAGACCAATAAAAACTAGGTTTGAATATTTATATCAGAAGAGTTTGTTGATATTTGTATATATGTGTGTGTGTGTGTGTCCTATTGGCTCTGTTTCTCTGGTGAACCTGTAATACAGACCTCATAGCAACCTATCAAAATCTAGCTTTTTATATCACATTCCCTTAGAGCCTTTTTTCCTCCAAAACATTCCTGGAGCTAATCTGCTTAAGCAGATTGACTTAATGTATTTTGACTGTTAAATGTCTTAATGAATTATACTAGTTGCTTCACTGTGTGTTATTTTGAGGTTCTAACTTCAGATTTCTCAAAAGTTAATAACTGGCCATGTGAAGAATAATTTTCATCTTTTCCTAACTGACTGTTGAAAAAAAGTTTATTCTTTTGTTACCCACATTCAATAATCTCTTAAGAATTTAGTACTAGAAAAGTATCTCTTTCCTAGAACTGGCCTTAGGCAAAATCACCAAGTAGGTAAAGTAGATATATTATACCTATTAGAAGAAAAGACAAACTGATGTCTTTTCTTTCAATAGGTGATAATAGTATAATAAATTCTAACAATTTTCTTTGGCCAGCTTCAGGAAACTTAGAGCTCAATTAATGTTTAAGCACAGTAATAGTATTAGTCTGGGTTCAGGGCATATTTAACTCTTTCTCTGGTCTCTATACTAATGGTCTAAGGGCCAAGGTCTTTTTAAATATGGGTTACCTCATGTTTTCTTAGAAGCAAACAAAAATAAATATAGATTTGATTCTAACATATTACTCCTTACAGAATCACGTTTACAATTTCCTAAAATCATATGGAAACAAAAGACATTATATCAAAGCAGTGGTTACAATGATAACTGAGACATGACAAGGCCTTGGGGGGATTATTTTCATAGTCTGTTGGTATCTGTCAAATCACATTCTTAGGGAGTTGCTTTGATAGGCCCACCTTTAGGACTGGCCCAGGAAGACAATCCTTGTGTTGGCTGTGCTAGGGAGAGGGAGCTTGGTGAGCTCCTCCTGGGAGCTGGGATACTAGCTTGAAAGAGCTATTCAAGAGAAGATGACAAGCATGTCAGTTTGTAATCTGTTCTAGCCTAGAAGGTTATGCAGGAAGATGCCATGAAGGGAGGGGGTGACAGGGAACTTATCAACAAACTCTTCTGATATAAATATTCAAACCTAGTTTTCATTGGTCTAAATGCTATTTTTGTTTCTGAAATGATGTCCTGTGGAAAAAAAATCAGGGCAACTAGGGCATGCCTGTGCACACCTGGGATTTTATAAGAGTTCGAGTTCTCAACCATCCACCCCCCAACCTAATTCCCATCTAGTTCCCTCTTAACTTAGAAGAACACCTTTATTTAAAGAGAACCTTCACTGTGGATCTCCTTTACATGATGTAAAATGGCCTCTTTTAGAATTTAATTCTGCACAGCTGGACAAGCAAGGGGGGCGATGCAGGTTGCCACAGAAACTGCTGTTGGTGCTGGGATTCTTTATACTTTGCTCCAAAAATAAGATGTGAAATGTACCGAGGGTGTGATTAGCACAGCACAGAAGGGAATTTCTAAAAGGAGTGCCAAGCCTCCCACCCCCACAGGAACGGGGGTGTTCTTCATAGCTGGAGGACAGGACATAAATCTGGGAGCAGATGCTCAACACGGTTCCTCCCTCAAAGGTGCAGGGAAAGACAAGTGGGAAAAGTGGCTTTTAAAGAGGAAAACCATCTTCCATCAAGCCAAATTCATATAAATTCCAAGGTTGAGATGTCCTGAAATTACCCAGGAAGTAAATAGAACTGTTCTCCTAGCCTACCAAAAAGTCATAGAAATTTGGCAAAGACACTAGATCAGATTATTGTTGTCCAGTGTCCAGCCCAGCACAGGATGCTGTCACATCCCACCTTGGCCAGATGGTTGCCTGGTCAGTTGGACATATTCAATGACCTTCACTTTTTAGGGGAACATGTGACAACTAGAATGTCTCTCTAAATATTGTTGGAGTCTGCCATTCTGTAACTTCCACTTATTTGCCCTTGTTTACCTTCTGTGGCAACCAAGAAAAGTCGATTATTACATTACTTTGTTTGTTTGTTTGTTTTCTTTTTTATTCTTTTGAGACAGAGTCTCACTCTGCCATCCAGGCTGGAAATGCTGTGATCTCACCTCCCAGGTTCAAGTGATTCTCCTGCCTCGGTCCCCCAAGTAGCTGGGATTACAGGCATGGGCCACCATGCCTGGCTAATTTTTGTATTTTTAGTAGTGATGGGGTTTCACCAAGTTGGCCTGGCTGGTCTTGAATTCCTGACCTCAGGTCATTTGCCTGCTTTGGCCTCTCAAAGTGCTGGGATTACAGGCATGAGTCACTGCACCCAGCCTCGCTTTGTTTTTTGTTTTTTTTTTTACCTTTATACTTCTTCAAGGTAGGTGTCACATTTTTTTTTTACTTAATATGATAATTCTTCACTTAATACCAAAATGGACCAATTGGCCTAGGATGTCCACTCACAGTTCAGGGAGCCTGACCAAGCTGACAAGTCAGTTTCATAGATCTCTGCCTTCGGTGCAAAAGGAAACACCATTAAAGCTTTATCTTTTCACGGTTACACACAGAAAATTCTTATGTGTCTCCCAAGCATGGCCACTTTTGTGATTCAACATCTACTATGTGCCAGGCACTGTACTAAATGCACACATTATTTTATTTGATCTGGTTACATGAGTTTACCTTTGTCATCCCCAGAATTTTACAGAGGAAGTTCAATTCAGTCAGAATGGCAGCATTCTCATGGGTGTGTCCACCAAGTACAGTGGCAAGGGCATAGACTTGCTAAATCAGTGATCTTGGATAAGTTACACATCTCTTCGAACTTCAGGTTTCTCATTTCTAAAAACTGGTATAATAAACTATCACGAGTTATTAGAAGTAAAAAACTTACACGCTTAAAATGTCAAATGTATAGTGGGTACTCAGTAAACTCTAGTTCTCTTCTTCCCTTCCCTTGCAATCCTATAGGTCTTCCACTATTGTTGTATAGCAGAGCAGTCAATCAAATGTCACCTCAGAGCCATATGCAATCAAGCCTGGAAAAACTACTTGTACAGGTATTAAGAGTCAATCTGAGCAAATAAACCATTAATTGAATAAACCCATTTGTAAACAGAATATAGTGAAGTGATATGGGCTGATAACATGAAAGAACTTACTTCCCCAAGGAAGTGATACCTAGATCTCGTTAACAATTAAAATGAAAGAAAAAAATAGAGATATACATACCATCAGGGAAAAGGTTGAGACAGACTTGTGCTAAGTCTGGAATTCCCTGCTGTGACTACCACATCCTACCCCTCTATCCTTCTCAGTCTTCAGTGCACCTCACCTGCTCTTTATATCCCTGGAGGATATAAAGCCCTTTGGTTCTTTTGCCCTCATTCCTTCCTGTGCAGATGGATCACATGGATTGTCTTTCAGTGAGACTCAGACCCTTTTTCTCATGGTCATCTCCCTCCCTATTCCCCAACCCAGGATAGACAATACCACCACCACCCACTTCCCTACTCCCCTGATAGTTCACCTCAGTGTTGTAAGATGATTAAGGAAGCTTGGGAAGAAAAGGATACCTCCTGACTTTCAAGGAAGCTGAACAAATGTAAGTTCTTGGGGATAAGATTGGTTAGGACCTCGTTATTTTCTATATAATTGTGAAACTTTTATAAAATATATGTATATATGTATATGTATATATACATATATATGTATAAATAGCAAAGAAACTTGGGGTATCTATATAGCATCAACTTAGGTGGGTCACGAGGTTTTACAATAAGGTGATGCATGAGTGTGCTTGACTGGGGGGACCTCCAACACTTGCTGGTGCCTGGGAGGTGGGAAAGAGTTGCATGGGAGGTGAGAAAGAGTCCTGGCTTCTGCCACGAGAAGGCCAGGACTCAAAAAATACATAATTCCTCACATAGGAAGGGGATTCTAAGGTGTAGGGCAGCCAAAAATATGTTAACCATCTACCCTGTAAGGACTTGAATAAAGTGTCTTTTTCCTGCTAACATTCCTAAATCCCCTCCTCTTGACTAAGAAGTGGAGTGCCTGAATACTGTAGCTACTAAGAAATTTTTAGAGTTCAAAGAAGCCCTCAGAACTTTCCAATTCTAGAGCAGTTTTTATGCAGTGATTTAGTAGGACACAGGCAAAGGTAACCTAGCCCATTTAGCTGCTATAAGAAGTAATTAGCAACTTCAATTACACCAGAGTCCTTAAATGGACTTCAGGCTCTTCCATGTCTGCCTCACTTCACTTTTCTTTTTTCCAAAGTAGTTTTGTTTTTCTTCTTGTTTTTCCTTAAAGGCCTAGTGATAGCTCTCTATTAATAGTAAAGTTTCACTTTTCTTATCAGTTGGTATTTTACTAATTCACGAATTCATCTAAAAAATATTTAAGTGGGCCAGACGTGGTGGCTCACGCCTGTAATCCCAGAACTTTGGGAGGCCAAGGCAAGTGGATCACTTGAGGACAGGAATTTGAGATCAGCCTGTCCAACATGGTGAAACCCTGTCTCTACTACTAATATAAAAATTAGCCAGGCATGGCAGCGGGCACCTGTAATCCTAGCTACTCAGGAGGCTGAGGCAGGAGAATCACCTGAACCTGGGTGGTGGAGGCTGCAGTGAGCCGAGATCACTTGCCACTATACTCCAGCCTGGGCAACAGAGTGAGATTCTGTCTCAGAAAAAAAAAATAAAAAAAAAAAAAAAAAAAATATATATATATATATATATATAGACACACACACACACACACACACACACACACATATAGACACACACATATATATATATAAAATATTTGGGTGTGTGTGTGTATGTGTGTATGTGTGCTATGAATGAAAGAACCCTAAATTAGGGTACTATCTATAAAAGCTCATTGGGAAAAAATAAGTGAAATTGTTATAATGCACAGTAAAATATTACCAAAGTATAATACAGTGAGATTTATTAACAAATTGCATTCTAATAATATACTACATTAGTCAGAAATTTTTGGATACGGCAAACTTCCAGAAATCTGACTGAGTTTGTTTGGGCTCCCCAGTGGCAGATGATTCAAGTGCAGGTAGTTTATTTGGGAGGTAAAAGGAGCACTGATAAGAGAGTGAGGAAATGAGACCAAGAAGGATTAGGTAACAAATACAGGGTGTGTTATCATGCCAGCTATTGAGGTGGGAGACTGAGCTCAATCCCACTGCCACTGGAGGACCTTTGGGACCCAGCTTAGATCCCACTCCTCAGAACTGTCCCAGCTAAAGAATTAAGAAGGACTTGGGGGGCTATTCCCAGGGGTTGTTCGTTTTCAGGCCTGCTGACTTCACAAAGTGGGTTCTAGCAGCAAGAGTGCTTGCCCTTGAATAAAGAAAAGAAGATGCTGCTGATTGGAAATCATGCTAGAGTAAACTGGTGAGGGTAAGCAATCATGGTTTCCTAGCTTTCCTCCTGACTCAAGTCTCCTAACACTTGACCTACATAAGATTTGACCTAGTAGTTAGTCTCTTTATCTGTTAACAGAAATATTTGGATCAGATGTTTTCTAAAGTTTCTGTGGTTGTCTTTCCTCATTTGCTTGAACTCCGTGGCTGGAGTTACATGCTTATTTATTGTTACTATTAGAATACAAATGAGATGTCTAATGCTTCTGCTGTGTAGGGAAACTAAGTTCTAGGATATATTTGTGATTATGTGGTATTAAAATATCTGATTTCTTTGTAAGATCTTTTGAGGTGTTATTACTTTACTCTGGTACATTTTACTGCAATAGTTTCCTAAAGCCACAAATAAGAAAAGATGTTTCTTACAAATCCACAGAGGCTTATTTCAGAGAAGATGAATACAGGAAATATTGCAGAAGCTTTTTTCCTTAACCAAAACAAACAAAAAAATCGATCTGGGCCTATGGCTTGAATATGAAGTGCAGATATAAGTGCTTGTCCAGCTGCTCTTTCTTTGAAGATAGGATGTTAAGTTTACTAGTCTTCTTCTGATAAGCATCTGATCATGGTTCTTGAGATTGGAGATATTTTTGCTTTGGAGCTCGAGCTGGTATAGCCACAGAGTTTCCTTCTGATGGCCTTTGGCTCCATTCTTCTCCTGCTGAGCTAGTGACAATGGCTGTGTCTCCTCCTTTGTGGCTGTATCTTCCTTCTACTCTTGGCTTCTTTCTCTCTTCCTCTGTCCTCTTCCTTTCTTGCTCTTTTCTCTTCCTTGTATTTTCTCCTCTCTTTTGTCTTCTTGGTTTCTCCCTCTTTCTCTCCCTCTTTTTCTCCTAGGGTTGGGACACTTTCCAAGTTTGTTTCTCTCATCTTTTATTAGTTAATTTTGGTCCTGATAAATTAGGAAGAACCCCCAGCTCACTGCCAGTTGTTTTTATCTGGGTTACATTCTCTTTTCTGGGTAAAGTGGCTGGGACTCTTCCATGGCTTTAGAAAAATAAGCAACTGAGATATGTTTGGCTTCTCTTCTTACCTATGGTTGCCATATATAACAGATAAAAATACAAGACACCCTACTAAATTGTAATCTCAGCTAAGCAAAAATTTCTTTTAGCAAAAATATATCCCAGATATTATATGGGACATACTTATACTAAAAAATTCTTTAATAAAGTGAAGAGTGCAATTATTATGGCAGTAAGTTATAGAATAGAAATTAAAAAGCTACTACTAAAGGCAGTTCTCATCCATCATACACAGCCTTTGATTAACTTCTATGTGATTTATTAAGCTGAATATTTTGATATGTACTCAAGGAGTTCTGTGTGGTGTTTGTTATAATGAAGAGAATTTAATATGTCTCATATATTGGAACACAACAATGATAATTCTGTATTTCTCTATTTTTCATTACATCTTTATCCCTTGGGCTTAAATTTAGAGACATAATAATTAATGGTGTGGTAATTCTCAAATTCTGCCCTCCCAATTATTCTTTCCTCTTGGCCTGTCACTCTCATGGATGATTCTAGAGAGAGCTATATGTGAAAGAAAAGAAATAAATGAAAAAGAAGGTAATACAATCAGTACCTGTGTCAATGTCCCCGTGTTGAGCTGTAGTAAAGATGGCTTGGACCATGTGGTTTAGGCTCAGGGACTGTGTGAGGCCCCTACTTCCCTCTGAGTGCTGTCAAAATGTGACTATAGTGAGGAAGACATCCATGCAGGACAGCAGACCTGACATGAGGTATCAGGACCTTAGCAGCATGAGGAGATCATAACCACTTGGAAAGAAGAACTGGGATGGGATATTATAGCCCAAGTGGAATAAGGCAGATATCCACAAAAGATAGGGGATAACAGCAGCAATGTGAGATGTTACATACAGGGAAACTGATCAAATAAATAAATACATTAAGGATAATGGGGTCAGGCACAGTGGCTCATGTCTGTAATCCCAGTACTTTGGGAGACCGAGGTGGGCAGATCACTTGAGGTCAAGAGTTTGAGACCAGCTTGGCCAACATGGTGAAACCCTGTCTCTACTAAAAATACAAAAATTCGCCGGCTGTGGTGGCACACACCTGGAATCCCATCTACTGAGGAGGTTGAGGCAGGAGAATCGCTTGAACCCAGGAGGTAGAGGTTGCAGTGAACCAAGATTGCGCCACTGCACTACACTCTAGCCTTGGCAACAAAGCGAGAGAACCTGTCTCTAGCCTTGGCAACAAAGCGAGAGAACCTGTCTCAAAAAAAAAAAAAAAAAAAGAAAGAAAACAAAAAAAACCCACCAGATAAAAAGGATAATGGAAGACAGTTTCTCACTGTTGGAGAAGGGAGTTATAAATATGAAGAGGAAAAAAACTTGAATGAGCACAATGGTGCTCATGGTGTTGCACTTGAATCAAAAATATTGGTGTGAACTCATGAATTTCAATAAATATAGATGAATATAGAAATATACACGAAAATGGGAATATGTAGATACCCTAACTCAGTCCATTGAGAGGGCATGGGAACAACAACGTTCTGGGAAGGAGGTATATGAATGGATATATTAGAGTGGGAACGAAGTGTGAGCTCTTTGTCTACCAGACAGCACCCACTATAGAAGAAGCATTAATCACCAAGTGGACAGGATGACTTGGCCAGTA